AAGATGGAAGTCATTTTTTGATTATTCGGATTTAAAATTCGAAACGAAGATAATTCGTCGATAACTCGGATTCTCGATCAAAGACGAACATGATATTTCAAAGAAAATTCCAAAGTGGAAGAATAGCGTGATAACTTTCACCACGTGGCCGTGTTCTTGTCAAGTTAGATCAACATCATTGTGTCGCGTGCATTGTGATTGCTGATTGTTACAAAATACGCGGAAAGTGTCGTACCTATATTTTTTCGAGCACGAGTCTTCAGCACACGACACGAAGTTTAATCGATCATTCGTTTCCATAGTCATTTGAATGTCTATCTTTCTTTAACATCGAAAATCGTAAGTTTCACGTTGTTAATGTCCACTACTTTCGAGCATGCCTGGAAATGTCGTAAAATTATTTCTGTAGCGTGTATTACAACACGAGTAACGATTAAATGCAATAGTTTCTTGCCAATATAGGTTAGGACTATGCGTTCGCTATTTTGCATACACTCACAGTGCGCCCATGTTGTTCACGACTAACAAGGAGAGTGCAAGTCCTTCGGGTCACCGATCTAATAGAAACTTCGTAAGTTTGTAGATTTCTTCATGCAGTTCAAGAATATATATCATTATAACAATGACTACTCAATACTTTTTGAGATGTTAATGATTAAAGTTTTAATACTTCTGTACATACAGATTTATTTCCAATGCCTCCAGTTGATTTTTCTCTTTAATCTATTTTTTAATTTGTATTCATTTTTCGACTATGAAAACGTTGTAAATAAACAATTGTAAATTAAATTTCTTAATAAAAAAATGTATTTTTTACGATTTCCTAATAATTTATCTCATCTACAAGTGCTTCTTCAAGTTTAAGCATGTTATAAGAAATATATTAGTTTTATTAATGCAAAATACTTTTAAAATCTAGTTTATTAAAATTTATTATTTATTATTATAATTCAAATGACAAATTAATTAATATATTAATATAAAAATGCAGAAAGTAAATAATGCATATTGGTTAAATTTTTAAAAACAGATATACAATCCATTGAAATATTATTAACAAATACTTAATATTATATCTTTAGTGACTGGCTCCTGCATATAAATATGACTCATGTTTGTAAGTCTTCTATAATAAAAAAAGTCGTTTGTCGATAATATTTCATATCTATGCACCTTCAATTGTAATATAATTGCCCTACTGGTTCGAGAGCAACCTATTCTATGCAGTAGTAACGAAATATTCTAATCCACAATCAAAATTTAGAATGTAAAAGCGATAACACATAACTATGTTGCAATTGAACGTCAAGATCGAAGGAAAATTGAAAGAGCTATTAAAAAACTGCCTATTCAGAGTAATGTTTATCAAATATTCCAATGGACAGTCGAAATCTAGAATCTTCTACAGTAGATTGTAACGGACAATGCGGTAGTATTATAGGATCCCGCACTCACACCACTTTATTTTACACATATATCATTATACGATTTAGCACTATGCATATCCCTTTTTTTCACATGATGTATATTACCACCAAAGGAATGTTCACAGTTAGTAATCTTGAACTTCGTAAAATAATTATAACGTCAATCAGCAATATCACTACTTCACGAAACATTTTCAGATTTAATGTTTGACTTTGAGGCGTGAGAACATTCCACCACTTGTTATCGGTATGCCCGCTTGCCGTCAACTGGAAGTTAGCTGTAGCCGGAAACGCTAGGTATTTTTTTTTTTTTTCTTTTTTTAATTGAAGCAATTATAAATATATTTCTGTTGCGAAAAATTCCAAATTTCTATAATTAATTCATGAACAGGAATTATTAATTATTCCATTATACTAATGGAAAGACAAACCACTATTATCTTCGGCAATGGTTCCAACATTGTATGCAATAATCACCAATAATGAATTAAATAAGAAGGAATTCATGTCTAGAATTATATTCGAAAGCTCGCTGAGGCTATGCATTTACGATGCAATTATAAAGGTTGATGAATTAATTACAGACAAATATGAAGTCAAATGAAGGCGAGTGATTTTGTTGGTAAAAAATAAAATGAAACTACGATGGTTATATGCTTAGGAACTTTTTATTCACTTTGAAAATTTCACATATACATTATCCTTTACTTCTTCACTTTCCTGTACTATTATTTTTAGTATAATATCAGAAAATAATTCAGAAAATGGATTGTTCAATATTATAGATTTTAACAATCTTGGAGGATAAAGTAGTCTATCATTCTACAAAGAAGAGAAAATATGATATTTATATCATTTCCTGATATATTTTCTTGCAGACATTAAATTTACCTCATCTACAAGTGCTTCTTCAAGTTTAAGCATGTTATATATAGTTTCTCCAGTAATTTTACCAAAGATTGTATGTTTACTCTTAGTGGCTAACTCTTACACATAAATATTACACATGTTTGTAAGTTTCCTATAATAAAAAAAATCTTTTGTCAATAATATTTCATATTAAATCTTTAGTCATTTACAAATCAGTCAACCAAATGGTTCTTTTCTCGAATAATCATCAGCAGGTAAGACGTACCTCTTATCTCCTTTTAACGTTGCCTTCATTGGTCCAATCAATTCCATCTGCCACAGTCTCATTATTACTGCTGCTATTATAGTTTTCAAGTTCCTATAAATATATATACACATTTGTGCTTTAATGAAACATTTACACACTATATTCCATTTATCTTTAACTTTTGTAACTATTACCAAGTGTCCATTCTCCATCTCCTCAATGATCCTCATATTTGCATATTATTTCCTGCTGCTTTTATAGTTTCCAAGTTCCTATAGATATTTCTACACATTTGTTCCTTAATGCAACATTTACTCTATATTCAATTTATCTTTTACTTTTATAGCTATTACCAAGTGTCCATTTTCCATCTCTTCAATGATCCTCATATTTGCATGTCGATACCACACATCTTCCTCTCTTGATACATATGCTGCCTATTTTATGGTTCTTGATTCAACATAATATGCATTTCTTCTTCTCACTGCTTTCATTCAAACCTCTCTTTTCTTTATATACCTCAGCTCCATCATTCTGAAATTTAACACATTGGAGATGATCATTGACTTTGATCATTGATATTAATATTTATTTAGATCAGAAATACAAAATGCCTTTCAATCTCACTGTATTATCTAAATCTAGTTGTTATAAGAGGCCATCACCTAAATTAATTTTATTCCTTTTTGTCTGCTTAAGCCATCTCCATTACCTGAATCTTTATTTGACCATCAAAGATTTCTACCTTGTATGTCATATGGTTAGCTGTCCTAGAATCCAACAGACATATCATAACTTATATGTTTGTATTGCTGCTTCAATTTTTTTTCGCTATAAAATATAATTCTTGGCATCTCATAGCTCTATGGTAGTGATATTCCATGAGTCCAATATTTTTGTACTGTTGCACATGTCTGTTTGTTTCAACAGAATATTGTCTTTTCTCAAACAAGCTCTGCTATCACGAACAAAAGATAGAGAAACAATGGCTCGTAACTTACACTGTTTAATTAGAACTGAAGGTTACGTTAATACAAAGACTTACATCCTTTTGTGTGATGTACACCTGCATACACAAAAGTTTTGTATTTCCTGTATCTCATGATTATTTATATTTTCGTTTTCTTTCTGTAGTAAGTAAGATTGCCATAGAAAACTGTTTTTCTTGCATAATATTCTTATTATTTTATAATAAATATATACTTACATAAAAAAGGGAAAAAAATGAATTTTTTTATTAAGAAATTTTATTTACAATTGTTTATTTACAATGTTTTCATAGGCGAAAAATGAATATAAAATAAAAAATAGATTAAAAAAAATTACTAACTATGGACAGGAATTGATCTCCCGGACATGATTCATAGGAATTTTTGTGTGTCCCTATTAGGCCATAACGCTACTTGAAAACCTTTGAAAAGAAATCTATAGGTACTGAAGTAATAAAACTAATAGCAAATATTTCAAAAAGTATTGAGTAGTGGCGGCTATAATGTTCTTGACTTGAAAAATAATAATATTTTTGACTTGCATGACGAAATCTACAAACCTGCAAAGTTTCAACTAAATCGGTGACCCGAAGGACTTGCACTCTCCTCATAAGTGGAGGCATAAATTGTTTCTCAGCGTTAAATAGTATTATAAAAATTGTTCAGAATTGCCGCAAGAAATCGGTAAAACTTGCATTCACTATGTGCAAACAGTGTTATTATCTCGCAATAACTCAAGATAATTCACGCTAGTTCAAGTGTGGAATGTAAATTAAATCTTACGAAATTTTGGAAAAAAGATTTCTCTGATAATAAAGTCTGTCATTGTAAATTTGATACCGTAGAAATAAATCCTATATGAAAATTATTCGATAGCATAGGGCGTGGATATCGGATTAAAAGGATTAATAGTGCAACAGTGTGAAACACGAATTATCAGTTTTCGAATCTTAAATTAACAAAAATCAATTACCCTTATTTTCTCTGCCATTTATATCACGATTTCGCGAACACCCCATATACAGCATAATCTAACAAAAATCGGGTGTTATTATCTTCTCTATCAATTGTGCCATGATTTCGAAAATACACTGTCTAAATTTTAACTTAACAAAAATCAAAGTGTCGTTATTCTTCAACATCCTATCATGCGTAGTGCAAAGCAATCTTTTATTCTTTCTCCTGTAACCAAATAATTAAAGATAATCGAGATAGTCTCGTTACATGGTCCACCCTGTATATACATTTACTGCAACCTCGATTTTCTCGCAAACTTTATACTTTATTATTTAATTTTGTTACTTTATTATACTTTATTATACTTCAAATTTTATTATTGTAGTATAATAGTACTACTATTTCGAGTATTACCCGAAGAATTAGATTCTTGTCTGTCGTATCACGATTTCGCGAGCACCCTGTATAAATCCATCATCGCTTCTCCTAACTCGAATCATTCATCGTAGGATGCTGCCACTGCTTCTCCTGGCAAGTCTCGTCTGTACTTCGACGACCGCAGAAGTACTGGAAACCATAGCCCAATGGCCTCTTTTGGACTTCGCTCTTCCCTACGACCAAGAATTCCTGAATCAGTATCGCCCAGAAAACGTGGTTCCGACTGGCCTGGAGATCTCCTGGGACAAGGTCTTTATCACCGTACCAAGGTTACGGGCCGGTGTCCCAGCGACCTTGAACTATATCCCGAGGAACCTTCCTCTAGAAAGCAGTCCTCAGTTACACGCTTATCCCTCCTGGGATTGGCACAGTGCAGGGAAAGGAGATTTGAACTGCTCAAAATTGATCTCGGTGTACAGGACGAGGCTGGACAGGTGTAATCGTCTGTGGGTAGTGAACAAAAGATAGAGAAACAATGGCTCGTAACTTACACTGTTTAATTAGAACTGAAGGTTACGTTAATACAAAGACTTACATCCTTTTGTGTGATGTACACCTGCATACACAAAAGTTTTGTATTTCCTGTATCTCATGATTATTTATATTTTCGTTTTCTTTCTGTAGTAAGTAAGATTGCCATAGAAAACTGTTTTTCTTGCATAATATTCTTATTATTTTATAATAAATATATACTTACATAAAAAAGGGAAAAAAATGAATTTTTTTATTAAGAAATTTTATTTACAATTGTTTATTTACAATGTTTTCATAGGCGAAAAATGAATACAAAATAAAAAATAGATTAAAAAAAATTACTAACTATGGACAGGAATTGATCTCCCGGACATGATTCATAGGAATTTTTGTGTGTCCCTATTAGGCCATAACGCTACTTGAAAACCTTTGAAAAGAAATCTATAGGTACTGAAGTAATAAAACTAATAGCAAATATTTCAAAAAGTATTGAGTAGTGGCGGCTATAATGTTCTTGACTTGAAAAATAATAATATTTTTGACTTGCATGACGAAATCTACAAACCTGCAAAGTTTCAACTAAATCGGTGACCCGAAGGACTTGCACTCTCCTCATAAGTGGAGGCATAAATTGTTTCTCAGCGTTAAATAGTATTATAAAAATTGTTCAGAATTGCCGCAAGAAATCGGTAAAACTTGCATTCACTATGTGCAAACAGTGTTATTATCTCGCAATAACTCAAGATAATTCACGCTAGTTCAAGTGTGGAATGTAAATTAAATCTTACGAAATTTTGGAAAAAAGATTTCTCTGATAATAAAGTCTGTCATTGTAAATTTGATACCGTAGAAATAAATCCTATATGAAAATTATTCGATAGCATAGGGCGTGGATATCGGATTAAAAGGATTAATAGTGCAACAGTGTGAAACACGAATTATCAGTTTTCGAATCTTAAATTAACAAAAATCAATTACCCTTATTTTCTCTGCCATTTATATCACGATTTCGCGAACACCCCATATACAGCATAATCTAACAAAAATCGGGTGTTATTATCTTCTCTATCAATTGTGCCATGATTTCGAAAATACACTGTCTAAATTTTAACTTAACAAAAATCAAAGTGTCGTTATTCTTCAACATCCTATCATGCGTAGTGCAAAGCAATCTTTTATTCTTTCTCCTGTAACCAAATAATTAAAGATAATCGAGATAGTCTCGTTACATGGTCCACCCTGTATATACATTTACTGCAACCTCGATTTTCTCGCAAACTTTATACTTTATTATTTAATTTTGTTACTTTATTATACTTTATTATACTTCAAATTTTATTATTGTAGTATAATAGTACTACTATTTCGAGTATTACCCGAAGAATTAGATTCTTGTCTGTCGTATCACGATTTCGCGAGCACCCTGTATAAATCCATCATCGCTTCTCCTAACTCGAATCATTCATCGTAGGATGCTGCCACTGCTTCTCCTGGCAAGTCTCGTCTGTACTTCGACGACCGCAGAAGTACTGGAAACCATAGCCCAATGGCCTCTTTTGGACTTCGCTCTTCCCTACGACCAAGAATTCCTGAATCAGTATCGCCCAGAAAACGTGGTTCCGACTGGCCTGGAGATCTCCTGGGACAAGGTCTTTATCACCGTACCAAGGTTACGGGCCGGTGTCCCAGCGACCTTGAACTATATCCCGAGGAACCTTCCTCTAGAAAGCAGTCCTCAGTTACACGCTTATCCCTCCTGGGATTGGCACAGTGCAGGGAAAGGAGATTTGAACTGCTCAAAATTGATCTCGGTGTACAGGACGAGGCTGGACAGGTGTAATCGTCTGTGGGTAGTGGATAGCGGTTTAATGACGTCGATCGATGATTTCAGACCGGTTTGTCCCCCGAAAATTATGGTCTTTGATCTGAAAACCGATCAGCTCGTGCGACAGTTCACGTTCCCACGAGAAGTGAGTCCTGAAAGAGGTTTATCTTTAAAAATATTACCTAGATCATTAAATAGTGTCAGATTTTTATACTAAAATATTCGTAATTGGAATTATTTATATTTTTATTTATTCAGAATGTCAATACATTAATTACCAAATCTTTTTTCTTAGAAACAATACGATTACTACTTTCTATCAAAAGTACACATTATTTTCTAGCCAACTGGATATTTATTCTCATCCTTCGTTTCAAAATCGACGTTTCTGAATGATCAAAATATATTATTTTTATTAATTAGAATATTCAGTCTAGAAAAGTTTTCAAAAATTTGATCGACTGAATGTATATATATTAAAATTTCTGTCTTTTTTAAGGTCTTAAGGCCCAACACGTTGCTGACGAATCTAGTCATCGACGAAACCTCAGCCACAACGTGCGATGACGTCTTCGCCTACATGACAGACTCAACAGGACCAGGTAACCAAGAATTCCATCTATTTATTCGCAAGAACGTGTCTGTCTTCGTGAAATGTCACGATCATATGACGCTACTGTTATCCTTTTGCTCAAGGTATACTGGTGTTCGATGGCGCCACGGAAAGAAGCTGGCGAGTCGTGCATGCCAGCATGTATCCCCATCCAGACTTCTCCACATACAGGGTAAGCCCAGATCGATTCTCCACTTACTTTCTGTTCTTCCTTTAACCCTTTGCAGACGGAGAGGTTTTGAGTAAACCGTACCGTAGGCCCGAGCCGCTGTCGCGATAGTCATTCAAAACTACCAGCGCTCATTTCTGCTTAAACGCAATTTTCGTTCATAGCGACGCTGGCAATAGGGACATAAAACAGTCCAGCACATAGCTTAGGACGCGCGGTTCTAGGGCCGCACATTCCAAGTCCACCACTTAACTTAGAACGCGTGGTACTAGGGCCGTACGTCCCAAGTCCACCGCTTAACTTAGCACGCGCGGTCCTAGGGCCGCGCGTTCCAAGTCCACCATTTAACTTAGCACGCGCAGTCCTAGGGCCGCACGTCCCAAGTCCATCACTTAACCTAGAACACGCGACCTTACGGCCGCGCGTCCCAAGTCCACGACTTAACTTAGCACGCGCAGTTCTAGGGCCGTGCGTTCCAACTCTACCACTTAACTTAGAACGCATGGTCCTAGGACCGCGTGTTCCAAGTCAACCACTTAACTTAGACCGCGCGGTCCTAGGGCCGCAACAGCGGACACATACATGTGTTTCTCGACTATAGCAACGCGTTTACGTGGGACACATTTGTGAGTTCCTCGGTCCTATCAGTTGTTTTCACTGAACGCATATATGAGTACCTCAGCCAAACTGATAATTCCCACCGAACGCATATATGTGGCGGTCGTCAGCAAAGGGTTAGTAACTAGTTCTATAAATCGATCACAATTTTTGAAATTGTATAACGCATCGGACGCGTTGCAAATGGCTGACAGTTAGACGCTCGGGTACGAAGAATAAAGCGAAACTGTTACATGGTGAGCTCTGCGGTTAAGCGCATTGAATATTTACGTAGCCAGGTCAAACTCCGTAATGTTCGCCTCGATTTTACTTTTTTGCATCACGTGTTTTACTACCCAGGAAGTCGCGAGGAATTTCACGCCGAGGGGACCGTTCCTTGCAGCCTGGACGAGGCTGCAGGAGCGAAAAGAAGCATATTAATGCGATAATCTCTTCGAAAATTGTTATCTTTTTGAAATTGGAGATATGTCATAGTTAAATATAGACTACATAACATTATATAATAGTTTATTAATTTATTAGGATTTGCTAATCAAAGTATTGTAACTTAATAACAGAACGCAATGTGTATGTAAATATTTATTAACTTCCAAATTATTTTCTCCAATTGTTGTTTCCAAAGGCAGTATATTCATCTTGAAAAATTGATTGTAATTGTCGAATTCAGTAAGTGATACATTATTTCTCGAATCATGCGCTAAAACAACTGTAATGCGTATTTTAATATACTATTACTACTATTGGCAAAAAATTTTCAGTCTAACGTAATAATACCTATTCATTCATTATTTTTTCTTCGATAATCCTCCATTTCCATTTTATAGATTGAATAAAGACTTTTCAAATTCAGAAAATTGGATTTAAATTAAACTAAATTAAAAATTGGAGTTAAATTGTATTAATACTTACTAATACTTACTAATTGGATTAATACTCTTTTATAGATTGGCAGTGACACGTTCGAGTTGCTAGATGGCGTGGTAGGACTAACATTTTCTGCAAAGCTAGGAACGGTCTACTATCAGCCTCTCGCCACCGACCGTCTGTTCAGCGTCCCATCCGCGGCTCTTCAGGCTGGTCCTCTACCGTTTGGTGAACAACTACCGGTAACTTTGGTGGGTAAGAAGTCCAGTCAAGGACTCGCTCTGGCCATTGACCCTCGGGACGATACGATCGTCTTCTCACCGTTCACCGAAACTGCGATCGCTGCGTGGCAACCGCAAACCAATCAGCAAAGGTGTCATTATTATTATTTTTACTTTTATCCCTCACTTTTGTAGATTCGGTTAAGTGACTGATCCTTTTCCAAGTGTTGTGCTTGTCTTTTACTGTTGTAGGAATTTTTCAATACCGTCGCTGTCTTCACCTGTGCATTTGTGCACACCTGTGCAGACCTATTGATGATATATATGTGTGAATTCCTTTGACGTGATCTATATATGACTGTTTTATATACGACTATGGGCATTATTATTTCTTGGTTTCATATTGTTCTTATTTTCTTTGATAGAGGTATGTAGTTAGTGATTCTTTCTTGTCCTTTTTGTATCATGTTTGTTATGTTATACACGTTTGCTATATATTAGGTATGCTTTTTTACTTGTTTTTTGACAATTGACCTGATGTCTGGTCTATTGTATGTGGAACTTTTATCTCTTTGTAGTATTTTGTCCTACAGTAGATTATACTTCTTGGAAAGTTCTTCATGTATGATTTTTGTTACTGTATTGGCCTCGGTGATCATTTGCACGCTCTGATGATGTACTCCTGATCCTTTCTTGTTCTTTTTGTATCATCTTTGTATGTTATACATATTTGCTATGTATTAGGTATGCTTTTTTACTTCTTTTTTGACAATTGACCTGATGTCTGGTCTATTGTATGTGTAACTTTTATCTCTTTGTAATATTTTGTCCTACAGTAGATTATATTTCTTAGAAAGTTTTTCATGTATGATTTTTGTTACTGTATTGGCTTCTGCGATCATTTTCATGCTCTGATGATGTACGTTATTGTTTTCTGGTGGCAATATCTGCATGTATCTATATTTTCCTTTGTTATATGTTTTCTGTAGCTTTTTGTGACTATGAGCCTTTCATTGTCATTATTATATATCTTCTTAAGTGTGAAAGTGTTAGGTCTTTTATGTTTTCTTATGTACGAGAATCTTAAGATTCTAGATCTTATAGACGAAGACTAACCTTGACGCTAAATCGACCATGATCAGTGAAATGACAGGCAGACGAAGAAATAAAATAAGAAAAGTTTGGGAAACACGAGGAGATACTAAAAAATTGATTATACCTACATTAAAAGAAAAATAGAGAAGACGCTTAATGCCAAATTTTTAATTAAAAATTTAAAGAGGACCATTTGGGTCCTGGTAGGTTTACTATTAAACGAAAATGAGTCAAAGATTTCAGGAATCCACGATTTTCATTCTTTTCTAAATTCGTCGTGTTAGGCAGCCCACTTCCTTTGATTAATTCTGCTTTTTTTTGAAAAATTTTGACATTCTTGTCTCGTAGGTATTATAATTTTATAAAGACGTGACAAATTTATTCCACATGAATTCGTGTGTTTGCATACGTGCAAATGAGAGACTAAACTTGAACTTCTCCCGAATTCCCAAGCGTTGAATGCCTGAATCCTGTCCTCTTTGGACTCTCGAATTTTAGAAACTGCAACCAGCAATCATACTCTTTATCACTTGCAACCATATTTCTTTAAAATCCGCTTAAACATGTAAAAATTTATTTAAAATTCGATATGCTAAGGTGATTTATTCTACATATGTTTTGATGAAATGTTGCACAGGATCTTAGCCTACAGCCCAGAGAAGCTGCAGTTCGTTGCCGAGATCCGATGGGCTGAACGCGATAATGGCAATTTCTGGTTGATGACCACCAGGTTCCAGAAATTTTTCAGGCGAGAAGTGAACGTGCGAGACATCAACATACGTATTATGAGGTTAATGCCTATGCAGCAGCCGCTGAAACAGCCAATCCTCGGTTCTTTTACTCGACCATACTTCCCTTCGTATTTCTATAACAATACGATAGGCTACTGAAGACAGAAGACATGTCAAAAAGTCGTTGAGATCGTTCGATGTATATTTAATAGGAAATGGAATTTTTTCCCAAATTTCTAAGAGTTAGGTCGAAATAACTATACAGTGGAATTCGGATAATTTGATGTGTGATTGGATTAGGTCAAATGTGTCAGATTTTATCAGAAAAATTGTTTAACTCTTTATACATTAGTAATAATAATTAAATAACATTTGTGAAAAACAGGTTATAATGAGAGCTATTGATAGATAATAAGATGCAGGAGTATAGTAATGCAATTTATTCGTCAATTATTCGAATTCTCTACTAAATATCATTTATCATAATTATCAGATTGCAATTGTAAAAAATGGACCACTATTAAAAGTACCATTATTGAATTACAACTGTAATAGCGTTAAAACGTAGGAAAATAATTGTGAAAAATGATTGCAATTAATATAATGATGCGATTTATTATTCAATCATCAGAATTCTGTGCAAACTATACAGTTCTCGCAATAGATCGCGAAAGACGATTATACGACGTTTGTGAACGTCACGATCAGGACCATAATTCCCGGATTATCGGAAATGATGGATTATCTGAATTCTACTGTATCTTCGAATGAGAGAAATCAAAGGATTCATTTGAATTCTTTTTATCAAGATTGCTCAGTAAAACGCAAATAGAAATACTCATCATATTTTCAGTAACTGTTGAACAAAATAATAATTTTGTGAATCAAACTGAGTGGACGAAAAGCAAAGATATTATGAATAAATAGCTGCAACGTAGGAAAATGTACAATAGTATTAACTAATTTAAATAAACAGAAATTTGTCATATTAAGCAATGTCCTGTACCTACTGTTATTCCAATATATTTATTCCTTGAAAAATAATATTGTTTATTTACAGTGATTTATAATATGCATATAATATTGGATAAAACATTTTACAATTGTCCAAATATTTTCATGAATCACTATAAATCACTACATATGTTTGGGTTATTATTTATTATATTTTATTTAACAGGTTATTATTACAATTTATCGTATATTGGGTTAGACAATTTGTAATATTATTTATAATTATTGTCAATGAAATCGTCGTTCATTTAATATCCAACTTACAAATAATCAAATTTAAACAAATTTGGTTATTTTCTTTTTTGGTTATTTTCCTCAAATATGGAATATTCCTTGAAATTGTATAATTCCTTATACTCCTTATACAAAAGTGTAATTTTTTTAAAAATACCCAAGGTCCAGTTTCCAAATTATTAAAAGCACCTCGAACCAAAAATCCCATATAAATTACAACAAATCGTTGAATTCCACCAAAACTGTCATAAACGTAAAAATACGTCAAAGATATTTCTCGTAACCGATGGTGTAATGATTTTAGACAAGGACAAGATTCAAAGAAAAATATGCTGAGCAAGTGTTATTTAAAGATCGACGAGCGATCATTGAAAATTGAAAATCCATAATTTCGCAATCACGCTGGAAATTCATGAGCTTGTAATCACCCATTAAGTAAGACCTGCACGTGCAAGCATAATTACATAATTGATTTGACGCAATTGTCATTTAAATCACCCTGGTCTGGGAGGAATCTCATCGATGATTATCTGAAATAAAAATTCGTCTGTTAAATGGCCGTCTATATGGCCATATATATTCGTAAAACGAATTATTGCATAACCCATCGATTGTCGTTATCCAATCCACTGTTCCGCAACGCCATTTGCATATCAGCTTTAAACGAGAGCAGGAAAAAATGTACGTTTACGAACTATTTATAGCTCGCATCAGAAGAAACGAAAATGGTATCATTATCGCAAGATTGGTCAGGGAAACACGGTTCAACGAAATACTGTCAAACGTGATATCCCTTGTCGAGTCACTTCATTAACACTAGGTTTACGGACGCTAACTGTATACCTATTTCTACGGACACCTGTCAAATTTACAGGTAAAGGAAACCACGTGTCTTTTCTTTTTTTAACGATTAGTTTAATTTAAAAACAATTACAGTATTAACAGTCTCAACATAAGTTAACTAAATCTGTTACCGTCGTATAATTGGCACAACCCATCCGTCAAATTGACGGGTTTTGTAAATCTAGTGTTAAAGCCCCGAAGTAGATGGTAAACGGTGTTCCCGAAAATCGTGTAATAGGCTACGACATACAGTTCACTGGAAATTGTGGTAACGAACACGTGTAATTTATCTGTGAGACAATATTGCAATCGTTGAGGGATTCGAAAGAATTTCGTTCTAAAAACCGAGAACCGTGCAATCCTAATTTCGCAAGAAACTTTTTCTACTGGTGCATGGCTAATACGAGAAAAGCGGATCTGGGACTGATGAAAAAGTAGATTAAGTAGTTTCGATGGAGAAAGACGAGGTTTAATGAACGATCTCTAGTTCCATGTGAAATAACCAATGGGAGAAAAAGAAGAAAGAAAATGGAAAAGAAAATGGGGAAATTTTTTTTTAATTATTAGCTGTTCGTCGAGATATTGCAACTTTTATATAGAATAACTAATGAAAGAAAAAGAAAAAGAAAGTGGATAGAGAATAGGAGAAAATCTTTTATTTCGGTTTTATTGTGAGCTATATTTTTAATAGTTTAATTATCAATGTAAATTTTCGTGTAAAACAATCGAGCAAAAATAAAAATAAAAATGGGAGAAATGGAAATTGGGGATAATGTTTTATTTTGATATTTATAATGAAAGAGAAAGAAAAAGAAAGTGGAAAGAGGATAGGAGAAAATCTTTTATTTCAGTTTTATTGTGAGCTATATTTTCAATAGTTTAATTATCGATGTAGATTTTCGTGTAAAACAATCGATCAAAAATAAAAATAAAAATGGGAAAAATGGAAATTGGGGATAATGTTTTATTTTTATATTTGTTATAAGCCTTTTGACACATCGATTGACAGTTTATTAACGACACTTTATGTGACTGCTCTAGTTCCATGTGAAATAACCAATGGGAGAAAAAGAAAAAAGAAAATGAAAAAGAAAATGGAGAATTTTTTAATGTTTTAATTATAAGCTCATTGTAGAAATATTTTGGTGGAGAAAGACACGTTTAATAAACGATTTCGACTTTTGTATAGAATAACTAATGAAAGAGAAAGAAAAAGAAAGTGGATAGAGAATAGGAGAAAATATTTTATTTCGGTTTTATTGTGAGCTATATTTTTAATAGTTTAATTATCAATGTAAATTTTCGTGTAAAGCAATCGATTAAAAATAAAAATAAAAATGGGAAAATAGAAATGGGAAAATAAAAATGGAAAAAATGGAAATTATTGATAATGTATTATTTTTATATTTGTTATGAGCCTTTAACACATCGATTGATAGTTTATCAACAACGCTTTATGTGATTGCTCTGTGTTTGCGTACTGATAATCATGCAAATAGTTTATAAGTCAAGAGTTCAAAAAATAAATTTCATCGCATACTTTGCATTGCATTCATTCGTATTACGACAAAACGAAACTATTGTTGGTAAGGAGTAATAAAATAACGATATAAAATGATCTATAGCCGCTAAGAATCGAATTGAATAAATTCACAGTTTTGTCCGGAATTTTTTAAATTTATAATATAATTAAAACACGAAACTTTAAATATTACGACATGAAACTTACGTATATGACTTAGATCACTTTCATAATCACTGGCATACACGTTATTTATAGTGTTTCTGTGAATAGTTTAATACTATGTCACGATCTTTTTTGCTACTTTTCTACTTTTCGATCGAATTTACATAATGCTCTTGAATTTTATTAAAACTGATTTACATAAAGTCGTAAATCCTGAGTCTATTTAAATTATTGAAATATTCACAGTCTATATTTACAGTAGTATTTAAGATTCCCGATTCTAATATATGAATTAGGTTTGAATTAGGTTACTAACTTTTATTCCAAATATTGAAAAATCCACAGTCAGGATTTATACTAATCGTTCTTCGCACTGACCATATTCTAACTATATTCAAGACTCTAATGACTATGTGACTATAGTGAACTATATTCAAGATTCATAATTCTACTATATGGGTCAAGTTCGAACTAGGTTACTAGCTTTTATTTCAATTACTGAAGAATTCACAGTTAGGATCTATAGTAATCGTTCTTCGTGTTAAATATATTCAGGATTCGCGGTTCAAGTTTGTCGGTATTCGAGTTAGACAAACATCCTGTTAAAGATGGGATTTCCCATTGCGTTGACCTCTTTCCACTTCAGCTTGCTGTTCTCTTGTGACATACTCGTTTATACTGCAAAGGCGATTATCAGTAAGCCTGTTATGATTCCTCGAACTCGCAGACCTGCTACGCGACCGTGACCGACGGACCACAACATTCAAAGGACAGACTGCGATCTTTGCGTAGAGTTACACGATTCATGACGGGATCGTTGCTCCACGGGAATCTGTCTGCTCACAGTCGGTGGTCGAACGCGGTGACGCGCGCAACGTTCCGCTCTGTCTCGTCTTCCACGATCTGATCGCGTCTCAATTCGATTCATTATCTCTTCTGTGAAAACTAGTCAAAATTTCGTGTCCGGTTCTTTAACGTGCTTGTTCTAATTTAATTAATAAACGTTCCACGTTTTCCACTTGTAAATAACTGTCTATTTTACATAAATTTGTATAGTAATTAATTTTTGTAATATCTTGAATACAAGAGTCGTAGTTTGGAGTTATAATCGTTTGGATTGGCATTAAGATTTTCCATTTTCCATAAATTTCCATGGTAATTAATTTCTTTAATATTTTAATTAAGAAAGTCGTAGCTTGGAATTATATTTGTTTGGAGTGGCATTAATATTTTCCATTTTTCATAAATTTCTGTGATAATTTATTTTTTTTTATATTTTGAATAATATAGTAGTTGTTCAGAGTTATAGTTGTTTGGATTGGCATTAATATTTTCCATTTTCCATAAATTTTTATGATAATTTATTTGTTTAATATTTTGAATAATAAAGTAGTTGTTTAAAGTTATAGTTGTCTGTGTTAGCATTAATATTTTCCACTTTTCATAAATTTCTATGGTAATTAAGTTCTTTAATATTTTGATTAAGAAAGTCGTAGTTTGAAATTATAGTTGTTTGAATTAGCATGAATATTTTCCATTTTTCATAGATTTCTATGGTAATTAATTTCTTTAATATTTTAATTAAGAAAGTCGTAGCTTGGAATTATAGTTGTTTGAATTGGCATTAATATTTTTCATTTTTCATAAATTTCTATGGTAATTAATTTCTTTAATATTTTGAACAATAAAGTAGTTCTTCGATATTATAATTCCTTGGATTGGAATTAATATTTTCCATTTTCCATTTTCCATAAATCTCAATGGTAATCAATTTGTTCGATGTTTTGAATAAAAGAGAAATAATTTGAAATCATAGTTATTTGGTTACATTTCATAAATCAGAATCACTGCTTACACAACAAAAGAGTAACACCTATTGCCATAATTCGGCCAGCCCGATGTACCGTAATAAAATCTAGAATTTTAATCACTATATTTTCCTAGAACTCGGAGAAACTTTCTCCATTATACAATACGTAAAGCCGAGCATTAAAGTAAATATTCTCGACAAATTACATTTTAACACGCGAAGAACATTGACAACCATAACACAATAAAAACTAAAATTATAGTCGTTAAATTTCCCCAATCGTCACAAAAATCTCAATCATCACAAGCACAAATAATCATCAACGTAAACATTCCTGACAGTGACGATAAATCACGTTCTGCTACCCGAAGAGCATCGATAACTATAATATTCTGCACCCAAGTAGTGTTTGTTTCTATTACTCCCGAGGTCAGTCCTTTCGAAAATAATTCCAAGTATCCTAGAATATTCGATCGTCACACCTCCACTCGTACGAATCGAAATCGACAGCGATTGCACTGTTAACAGCTTCTGTCGGTGTCCTTTCAGTGACGGTGAAAGTTATAAGCAGAGAAAGAGCCGAGTGACACCGAAATCGGATCGCCTCCGCGGAAGAAAGAGCGGGAAGAACAGCGAGTACCTCGAACGACTTGGAAGACCGGAAGTGGCCAGCAGAAGTGGCGGAGAACCGCGTTGGGAACCGGAAGCGAGCTACCCTGTGCGCCAATTCGCAGTTGCATAACCACGCGGTGAGTTTCGAAATGCGTGTTATGGTCGTGGACCTTTTAGCAATTGGAACGAGAAGATCGATTATCTTTCCTTTCGTTTTGCCGGCAAACGACAATGTCGTGACTCGATTCTACTCCAATTTCTTTTTGTCTCAGCGAGACGGGATTTTAAGTAATCGGAATTTAAAAAGGACATTTATAAGAGAAATAATAAGTGACATTTCATTGCCTTCAGGAATTTTTCGGATTTAATTCTTTGCACTCGAGAGGCGCTCTTCAATAGAATATAATAAAATTTAATAGAATTCAATAAATTTAATAAAATTTCGAAGATCGGTATTAATTAATATGTCAAATTTAAAATAATGTAACAGTGTGCGAGGTATCGAAATTAAATAATTCTACGTGTTAATTATTATACGATTTCTTGTTTACTGCTCAAAAAATATCATCAGTCTTATGGAAGAAAATTTTTCAACTCGTACCCCTCTTTAGCCAAAAAATCGTCAAGTATAAAGGATTAATAACGCGTAGTGTACACCACCAGTGCAAATAGTCAGGTGTTGCGTTTCATTGAAATATCGTATGGTAATGAACGACGCAGAAATCAAGGTAACGATGATTCTCCTTAGACGGGCGATACTTGGGTAGCATAGAAATTTATCCCTTCAGTCGCCATTTGATAAAATTTCGAAGCTCGATATTAATTAATATATTAAATTGAAAATAATGTAACAGTGTGCGAGGTATCGAAATTAAATAATTCTACGTGTTAATTATTATACGATATCTTATTTACTGCTGAGAAAAATATCCTCAGCTTGATAGTAGAAAATCTTTGAACTCTTACCCTTCTTTAGCTAAAATATTGTCGAGTGCAAAGGGTTAATATTTGCACTGTTAAATTCTTTATTTTGACCGGTTTCAGACATTTTCTTAATTTTATTTGCTCAAACGTGCAGATGCTTTGTCAAAATTAACATTATCATAATTTTTGTTGAGAAAAATGTAGAATTATTTTGTGATTTACCACAGGATTTTGAAAGAAATGCAAAGTGAAATTTTAGTATCTACAAAAATATTTAGGCTTTAATAGTAGACTAGTTTCAAGTTTTAATATAATATTATTATTTTCCAGTGTTAAATTGGTATAATTAATATTAATTTTTGTTTAGAAAGAAATAGAATTATATCTGTTATATCTATTTATTTGCCACTGTACTACTTTAGGAATTAATCGTGACCAGTTAAAATTATTTTTTATTAAAAATTTTGCATTTCAAGATTTCCTCTTTTGTCACTTCGAATTTTTAATTTCGTTTTTCCTGAAATTCGTATATAAATTTCACGTTTATGGTTGACTTAGTATATCCCAGAATTATTATTCAAACTAGGTTCAATATTATTACTAAATAACTATATTTGGATATGCATATACTGACTCTGTGAAAAATAGAAATTTTGTCAATGTTGATTCAAGTTTCTTTTGTTATTCTAATTTATTATCTTCTCCTTATCCACAACCTCGCCTGTAAACGATAGTGTTTGAATGAATTAACGTCCTGAAAGCGTAGTAAACATTGAATAATTCTGTACGATAGTCAGCGTTGTCAAAACCGGATTGACTCAGCGTAGTATTCATTAATAAGGGAATAGTCGAAAATACTATACACATCATTCTTGTAAATATTCATGACTGAATATTTTCCTTGCTTTAGTATTACACACATTCTTCCGAATAATTTTTTCGAAACATTCCTGAATTTTCTGAAACATTCGAAGAAGAACAATTTTGTCTTCGTTAATACAAGTATCCAGTGGAAATGGACAAAGCGTAAAGGTGAGAATTGCAATTGGAAAATTTAAAATTATAATTCGAGTTTGCAGAGAAATATACTCTTTTGCAAAAACAAGGTATTAAATTTCTGACGATTTTAATTACAAGCAATTATAGGGAGTCCGTCATATACCAGTACGGAACAATTGTTTTCGTCGATGTGGTTACGTAAAATCGAAGGGGAATAAATTACTGTCAGACACGTCTAATTGCTAATAACGTTGTTTATATTGCAGAGATGAGGCGGTTTTACACCACGATCCTGCTGCTTTTGGCAATTGTGGGTGCACGTGGTCAAGATAAACTAAAGAAGATATATTCTTGGAAGACGTTGGAATTCGATTTCCCATCTGAGCAAACGAAATTGTCAGCTATTAAGAATGGAATCTTTATACCTGGAGCCTCCATACCCATTGACGTCGATGTCCACATTACAGGTAAAAGGATATAACATTTTCCACCTGAATTCAGAATAGAATTTTACACGTCTGTCTGTGTGCAAGGTACAATGAACCTAGTTCTAATTTTATTTTATTTATAGCTGAAAATGTTACTAAAATCTGTATACAGGGCCGGCGCGAGGCAGGTTTAGCGAGTTCACCGGTACCCGTCCCCGCGTTTTGAAAGGCCCCGCGGTCTACGAAGACTCATCAGCATTTTGCAGGTCTCCTATATATACCCCCCCCCCCCCCCTATATATCTACTATATAGTAGATTAAATATTCGGGTGCGTGTAGAAAATACAATTGCATAATCCATTAACCGATGACGACTTGCTGCACACTGACACGAGTGTAAGATTTTCTTTCTCATATTTGCATTGAAATATTTCGTTGCATCGTGTTCTAAACGTTGATATTAAACGTTGACGTCGAAGGTTGATACTGAAGATATTAGGTATCAAGGAAATCTCCCAATTAGAAAATTTCGATTTCGATTAGCTTTTTACAGAATGATGACATAAACAGATGCAAGATATTTTTATAATAGTGATGATTCAGTTTGGACGAGTGACAAAAATCATCAAAGTTCAATGTAACTTCATAAAGTCCTATTTCAGATAAAAAAATACAAATGCTTTCAGAGAAATGTACTTTTTACGAGAAATTAAACTGCATCCCTCGGGACCAGCGTAGCATTTAACGTGTTTAGTATCGGATTTAAATGTGTATTCTGCCCCAGCAAAATTTTGGAACCAGGCCCCGCAAGAGGTCATGTCGGCCCTGTTTGTATAACACGAAAAATTATAGAATTTTTTCTCATTATTTATGCTAAACAATAAGCTCACCACGATGTCATTCCAAATGTCAATATAATTGAACTTTTTCTAAAAATATAAAATGACAGAATTTTCTATAAGAATAATACATTTTATATTTTTATATATATTTACACACATTTTTAGATCATTTTACTTTTATGCTTTGATGTTTCTGTGGGTTTTCATATAATTTTACGTGTTTTAATTATGCAATATTTATTTTTATGTTATATATCTTTTTAAATTTAAGAATAATTGATAATTAATTTAAGAAGAATTTATGTGTATATTTTATTCTTTCAAGCATCGAAAACGACGGTGTTCGTGTCCATTCCAAGGTTCCAAAATGGCGTGCCAGTGACCTTAGGTTATGTTACCGGTCGCGTTTCTGCAGATGGGAATCACTTGATAGCGCCATATCCAAGCTGGGTTTACAATAATATAGACAACTGTGACAGTATTACCAGTGTTTACAGAATGCAGGTACCTTTGAATTAAAATTTTTCCTTTTTCTTCCTTTGATGCCTAATTATTTGAAAACTGACCATCTCGATTATTTTTTTTCTTATTTTATTTATTTATTTACTTTTTTCCATATTCTTTTGGTATTTAATCGTTTGGTACTTGGAAACTCGCCATTTCGACTGCTTTCTTTTTCTTTCTTTATTCGTTTGGTGTTTCATTATTCTATATTTGGAAGCTCATCATCTCCGTTATTCTTTTTCTTCATTTTATCTCCTTTTCTTTTATTTCTTTGACATTTAACCGTACGATACTCGGAAACTCGCTATCTCGATTGCTTTGTCGTTTTTCATTGATTCATATCGGAAACTTTAAACCTTATTTCCAATCATTGCGAGATTGGAATGCGTTAATGCCGAATGCGTGAACAAACATGGTCGACTTCACATCCTCGAGTGATTTATTTCACTGCGTAAATCGTCGAGATAGTACTGTTACCTATATGGGCAATTCCCGGTTGTTAATCTCCACTGGTAATTGTACACGAGGAAATTCCCACGTTTACTCATGCAACGTAGCTCGTATATAAACTATCAGTGATAGCTTATCAACGAGACAATTTTCTTGCTTACTTTACAACTTAATACCATAAGTTAAGAATCCATACAACATCGTTTCCATAGAAAGCATTTCACTAGGACGGCTATTATCACGAGCAGATTATTTCCATTGACGTATAACCGTTATCAAAAACAATTATAAAATAATCATAATATTTCTTTCCAACAAACAATTCATAAAATGTCTTCATAAAGCATTGTCAACGCCGAATATTTTGGATATTTTCTATTTAAGTCAAATATTACATAATGTAAATCCTACATAAATATTAGATTAGTCAGAAAGTAATATCGCTATTTTTAATATGAAATGGTAGGCATTTTCGTTAAAATAAAATAAAATAAAATAAAATAAAAAATTAAATTTTCATCTACAACCCTCTACAATCTCAATTCTAATTAACGTGTCCTTAAATATATTTGTAGTATCGCATATACTGCATATAAGTTCACGTAGCTTTACAAAAGTCATCGAGGATTCCAAGGACAGGTCAGTCGGAAAAACCTTGGACGATGTGTCAGGTCCTCAGCACGACCATATTTGATCATGTTGGGGAAGCATTGGAAAACTCGTGTAGGTTGTGCATGATGGGAAGAAGGATATGAAAGGACAAGGACGTTCTGAGTTAGGGGAGAGTTGTCGATTAGGAGAGTTGTCGACGAGAGCAGAGTAATTGTCGAGAAGAGTTGTCAATAGCGTAGTTGTCGAGTTGAGAGTTGTCGATTAGAGAGTTGCTAAGTCAGTGGAGAGTTGTCGACTAGAGAGTTGTAATAGAAGAGTTGTTAGTTACCAGAGTTGTTGTTAGTCATGAATTGTAATAGGAGAGTTGCTGCAGAAGTGTAGGTTGAGCGTTGTAATAAGTTGTAATAATTCGTACCTTTATCGTTACTCACAGCTTACTCACACTTTGTCGTTACTCTATCACTGTTAAGTTATTATTAAATAAATATATGTAGGGATCGGTTTGGGTAGATTGACTAAAATAGCGCTGTTTTACTTCTGAATGGAATACAATAAGCTTATACGTAGATTGACGGCTATGAAACAAGAGGGATTCGCTATGGGAACGTTCGACTTTGACTTCTTGCTGACATACTGGTACGCTATTAGCAACTTCCAAAAGATTCCTGGAGACTGTAGACTAGACTGGAGATTGTAGACTGGACTGGAGACTGGAGATTGGACTGGAGATTGTAGACTGGACTGGAGACTGTAGACTGGACTGGAGACTGTAGACTGTTCATGACTGATAACTGTGGAGACTAGAGCTGCTCGCGCCCTTGCACCCTTATTTAAAGCATTCACTCTGTCCTTTTCCATACCCAGACTTTCCTTTCCAATCATGCCCCTTTCCCACGGAACCTCGGTGGGACAGGTACTTCAACCACTCTGGATGCATCCCTAAACTTTCACTCGACTCTACCATAAACATTCGTTGCAGTCAATCCTCTTACACACGGTCACTTTCATTCTAAGCCCAAACACACTTGGCATTCTTTCAGGGCCGTACTTATTCCAATCCCACATAAATATATATACCATCACCAAAGCTTCTCCACATATCTAATACGTTAAAGGCATTAATTTATATTAAAAAGCAAAATAACACCATTTACCCCAAAAATCCATTACTTAATGGCCAATCTAATAATACATAAGCGATACATAAACGATACATAAATAGTCCTGCGTTACCCACTCAGATCGACCAATGCGAACGTCTATGGGTCCTCGACACAGGGAAATTAGGAGAGAAACGATTATGCTCACCAAAGCTCCACGTATTTTCCCTGCGCGACAACAGCCTGATCACCATGTACAGATTTCCTCGAAGTCAGTTGAAAGGGGACTCTCTCCACGTCACCATCGCAGTGGACGTCCGAGATACGGCGAACAAATGCAAGGATACTTTCGCCTACATCGCAGATGTAACAGGATTCACGTTGATCGTCTACGATTTCCACAACTCCGTGTCCTGGATGATCACCAACAACCTGTTCTACCCGTATCCTCAATACGGCACGTTCGACATCAAGGGTGACACGTTTGACCTGATGGACGGGATCATCGGTTTAGCATTGGGGCCCGTTCGCAACGGCGACAGGATTCTCTATTTCCATTCTTTGGCCAGCAGAGTCGAAGCATGGGTGCCTACCTCTGTAATCAGGTGAGTTGCGAATGTGTTAACCATGGCCGATTAAGTGTCATTATTCGAAGTTTAACTGCTGTTCGAACGAGCCTACACGTGTAGTTGAGAACACGATTGGAGGCAGCTAAGTGACGATAAGCTTAGACTGAAAGCGATTGTTCGAATCCAGGAATTACACGCTTTTCCGCGACAACCCTGAGGCGGCGGCGAGGTCGTTCGTGCCATTCGCACAGGAGAGGACATCTCAGTCCGCGGCTCAAGCTATGGATAGCAACGGAGTGCTTTTCTTCGGATTGATGTCCGATCTGGCGATCGCCTGCTGGAACAGTAAACATTTCCTCGAATATGGAGGGAAGAATAACGAGATAATCGCCAAGGATCCTGAGACGTTGCAGTTTCCGTCTGGGATAAAGGTAGGGATAGAAGATTTATCATACAATGTGGATTTATGTCTATCCTAATATTCTAGAATTAGATACGTCCTAAAATCTTAAATCTTGGAGACCTAAATTCTAAACTCTTGAGTTTTAAAATCTCAAAATTCTAAAATTCTAACTCCTTAGATACTAGTATTAGAAGACGATACAGGGCCTAAAATCCTAAGTTTTAAAATGCCTAAGTCCTAAATTCTTAAGTTTTAAAATACCTAAGTCTTAAAGTTCTAAGTTTTAAAGTACCTAAGTTTTAAAATACCCAAGTCCTAAAATCCTAAGTTTTAAAATACCCAAGTTCTGAAATCTTAAGTTTTAGAATACCTAAGTCCTAAATTCCTAAGTTTTGAAATACCTAAGTCCTAAAATCTTAAGTTTTAAGACACCTAAGTCCTAAAATCCTAAATTTTAAAATACCTAAGTCCTAAATCCTAAGTTTTAAAGTACCTAAGTCCTGAAATCCCAATATTCTAAGCTTATAATACTCCTAAAGTCCCAAATACCCAAATCCTCGATCCAAAGAACTAAGTTGCATCGTTAAATCTGTACACGAACCTCTCTCATTCCAGATCGTGTTGTCGCAAGACGGAAAGCAGGAACTATGGGTGCTCACAGCGTCATTCCAGAGGTACGCAAGCGGTACATTGCACCCGAATGAGACCAACTTTAGGATCCAAGCTGGTTTCGTGGACGAACTGGTTCGTGGTACCAAGTGCGATGTCGTATCTCTAAATGGACGCTATCCGATATCCCAATGAGGATCGTGGCACCACGAGCATTTCAGCGATTACTACCATGAAAATTTCTGGTCATCATGGCCGTACTCGATCTTCACCATCAAACCGTCCTTCGTGAACCACCGTTTCGAATCATATCATTCGCGAAACCACTTCCAAAATGACTATTATTCTCGCTACCTGTGGCGTTCTTTCGGAATCGCGCCCACTCACACGCATTCCTTTCGGGAATCCAAATCCACGGATTTTCACGTTGCTTCCTCGAATATCGAGAGTATTTGAACGTCATAATCGGCACGATAATCGAGATCGAGGTAACTAATAGAATCACAATAAAAGAATCGTGATTTCAAATAACGATGACGTGATAATTCCTAAAGAGACCAAGGAATAACTTCTTGTTACTGTTCGTGGTGCTGTAAACGTTTTCGAATTTTTTATTTCTATTTTGAGATAGACTGTACAAGATTCGGAAAATGGAGACCCATCAGTCGATGTTATTTAACTACCATATTTATTAATAAAGATTTCTTTAATTACGTTATTTATTAATCTAGATTTAATCGATTAGGTAAACAGGAAGCTCTACTTCCAGTCATTTATACGCGTAGTATTATAAGTTGACACGATTAAGTAGTTTTTTGAACACGATCGTTTCAATCTATTAAAATTTTTACGAGGTAACGAATCAGAGTATCCAACGAGTCAAGCAGCTGATAAGTAATAGCTTGATTTATTGGTTCGACTTATCCGATTAAAGGATATTACGTGGTATTGACATAGGTTTATAATTCGGACATAAATAATATCGAAATGGAAAGTCTGCTCGAAATTGAACACGAGAAATGAAAGCTGGAAATGGAAGTTGAGCTGGTAATCCATTGCATTTCGTTTTTCCGCTATGATTGCCTCGCGTGACCAAATTGCAAACTAATTGGAAACTAATCGTTTCCTATATTTGAAGATAGAGCGTATGAAATTTTCAGGTTAGGTTTCCCACGAAGCAATTTAAACAGGCCGTTCTCGAAAAGCCTATTTTGCATAAGCATATATTTACTGTACTAACAAATGTCCCAGGTTTCGTTATCTCTCGTTCGTTATCTCTTGCCATTTGAATCATCGAAAGTTTATTCGTGCGGCGACGTCAAAATGGCGGCTCGAAGAAATGGAGAACGTTGAGTCTCCGAATCGCAATTTATTTATAATACCCTCGTCGCTAATGTAAATGGAAATAAATGATGAAATTTGTTATAAATATCGTGTATCGTCACCCATCTCTCTGCGAATTCGAATTTGAATGATCGAAAAATTGTGCACGTATAATTTCCACGTATTTTTGCAGCGTGCGATCCTTATCTGAAATATCCCTGCCTATTTTCTTAAGATAAAGGCTATATAATACTCTGATTTTTATTACTTCTTCGTATTTTATATTTCTGCGTTGCAAGGTGCTTGAGATACGAAGAGGACACGTATGTTGTCCTTCGACGATTCTTTTTATTGGTTCAGTGACTGTGACAGATTACACTGGTGAGTAGAGTCCATGATGAGTGAGTAGAACCATCGGCTATTTTCAGTTTGTGCTTTGATTGGTGGATTATGGGACCATTCGCTGTTCATCGATGTTGACGCCATTAGGATTTGGTTATAGAAAACGAGATACGATGATAAAATTAGTAATCATTTTTCTTAAGCATTATCTAAGGGTGTTTCTCCATTTAAGTACTATTTTTTGACAATTAAGTGCCGTTTAACACTTTCACTGCCACGTTGGTCAGATATGACCGGCCATGGTTTCTCCTTGGTCATTGGTAACCGGAGCACTTCAACTACTTACAATTGTAAAAATTGAACGAAAATTGACAGTTAGTCAATTGTCAGCCGTTATCAAGGCGTCACAGTGGTCATTGGTGACTGCCAATAAGATAAACACTTTATTCACTAAGAATGTTGTCTTATATCACCAATTTATTATTATTTTACCATTATATGCTTTGAATAATAAAAATACTGAGCGAAACGTATAATTTCGGCGTGGCAGTCAAAGGGTTAAGTACTATTTAACCCTTTGCACTCGACGATTTTTTGGCTAGAGAAGAGTAGAAATTCAAAGATTCTCTATTAAAAAACTGACGATACTTTTTTGAGCAGTAAATAAAGAATTTTATAATAATAGAATCGCAGAATTATGTGATTTCGATACCTTTCACACTGTTACATTAAATTAAATTTGATATATTATTTAATATCGATCCTCCAAATTTTATTAAATGGTAACTGAGGGTCACCTCTCGAACGCAAAGGGTTAAATTCCATTGTTCTCCAGAAACAAACACTTTTCATGCAATTGGAACTTAAATCAGAATTACTGAACTATTGAAAATGGATGATGTCAGGCTTCTAGTTTCTGCAGTTCTTGAAAGAATATATTGCTTTTGGTAAAATTGGTGTTATCATTTATTAACGTATAAAATTGCCCACGAACGCTTGTGTACCAAGTGTTCGACAAATAGAATAACACGTTGGATCCAGACTTGGGAGCTAACCCTTCGGTAAAGCGAGATATGAGTGTTAGAAATGCATGAAGAATGGTCGGAAAAAATTGCAAAAAATTGCAATGAATATATAGAATATAGAATACGTTTGGCATCGAATTTTTTTTTTTTTTTTTAATAATTTGTTTCTTCGATTTAGCGGTGATACCTCGGTGACATTGACCATGGAAATATTTTCTTTCGTTCTACGAAGTTATTCGAAAGCATCGATAATTTTCCTGCTAAGTTATGCTATTTTGACTTATTGTCAGTTAAACGGTCGTTAATATTATGTACAATGATAATATTCTTTTAGTGTTAGGCTTTCGAGTACTTTAGCACATTCCACGTACCCTGTCAAATTTTTCTGCAATTATATTGGCATATTATTAACATTAGTTTTACTTTAGAGCGATATTATTTTGGTAATTTTCAGTCCAGTACACCTATTCAAAATTTGGAAAATAAGGTTCTGAATAATTCCATAAATAATTGCACTTATTCATCTTCATTGTACTAATTTAATTAATTAATTAATCTGTATTGTCTACATATTATCGCACCAATTTAATTAATCAATTAATCGATATTATTTACACGTCATCGTACCAATTTAATTAATTAATCGATACTATTTACACGTCGCACCGATTTATTAAGTAATTAATCAAAATTATTACAAGTCAGTATGCCAATTCAATTAAGCAATTAATCAATATTACGTATTCCATACACAGTATTTACGTACATAATTCGAGTATTATTATAAGATCCTGGCTGTAACGCAGCTGCGTAAGAGATACGTCACATTAAAAAATAACCAATATTTTTCATTTTATTATACTTCAACCCCAAGATTTATCGAAAGACACACAATTACAAGCTATAATTTTTAATCATCGCGTCTAAGGGTTTTCTAAAATGACAATTTGACAGTTATGCTCCACAATTAACCCTTTGCACTCGAGAGGTGCCTTTCAGTCACCATTTGACAAAATTTCCAAGATCTATATTAATTAATATGTCAAATTTAAAATAACGTAACAGTGTGCGAGGTATCGAAATGAAATAATTCTACGTGTTAATTATTATACAATTTCTTATTTATTGCTGAAAATAATATCGTCAGCTTTGTAGCAGAAAATTTTTGAACTCCTACTCTTCTTTAGTCAAAAAATTGTCGAGTGCAAAGGGTTAATTTTTCTATTCGACAGTTCCATAGAACGGTGCGTGTAATTATTTAATTACCATCTGTCCCATGTTAGACGACATTTACTGTACCCAGGTGTACCCCTACCCGTACCTCTATCTACCGAGGAAAACTCGAAATTTAAACACGAAACAATATAATTTGCGTTATCTCTGTACGGAAGGTCAGTACCACTTATATTTACTGCCATGCCGCTGGTCACGACTCCACATTCACCCGCGTCGTGCCTCTTTGTTAGAAACCCGACACACATATTCCATTTCGTGCCGTGGAATTAATCGTTGTCACTCGTACGTGTCCCATTTCCATGCACCGTAATCTTTACGTGCACGCTTTGCGCGCGATTTTTATGCACGACTCTTACGTGTTTCACCGGACATGTCGTTTTTCAGAGACATGCTAACGTGGTGGTTATGGGTGGTATACGTCGCCGTGGCGTATCAAGGCACGGTCGTTTCCTCGAGGAATTTGGTAGACAAACTGCAAGTGGTTTACGAATGGAAGTACTTCGATTTCGACTTTGGCAGCGAGGAGAAGAGACAAGCAGCCATTAAATCCGGGGAGTACAACTACACGAAGTCGGCATCCATAGATGTGGATCGATGGAAAGGTACGGTGTTTCGATATCGAATTGATCGATACTTTTCTTTTTAGCTGAAATTATTGCAGGATTTTTGGCTATGTTAATCCTATACGGATCGAGATCTGTGCGTCTAGTAAAGAACAACTCTCCTTTAATAATTATTTAACCTCCTCTATTTAACTCCTGTCATTTTCGCTGATTTACTAATTCCATAATTAACTAACTAATTAACCCATTTGCATCATGGCTCTACTTAAGGTGCCGTGTTCAGGCATCAGCGACGTTCAACTGACGACTGGCCCGTATCATCGCGTGCGTATCAGCACCTACTCATAATGGCAGTTAAAAGGATTTTCACGACAAAAGTAAAACTTGTTAAGAATATAATGAACCGATGTAGATGAGATGCTCACAAAAGGGATCAAACGTGATCTGTGGCATACGAAGAATATTCAGCAACTGGTAATGGAAAAAGTCAGCTCGCGGATTATTCCGCGCTCGGTGATAGGCAACAGTCGTGGCTCGCGGAATATTCCGCGTTCGGTGATAGACGACAGTCGTAGCTCGCGGAATATTCCGCGCTTGGATGCAAATGGGTTAATTAACTAATTCCATAATTCGATATTTTTTGCATTTTACATTCAAGACAAGACTTTCGTCACGATAATAAGAGACGATGGCGTGCCCTCGACTTTGAACGTCGTGACTGACAAGCAAAGCGACAGTGGTCCTCTTCTGAAACCCTATCCAGACTGGAGCTGGGCAAAAATTGGAAACTGCTCTGGTATAGTGAGCGTTTACAGAGTTGCGGTAATAAAACACATAATTTTACAATTATATCAAAAATTATTTCTTCCCGAAGTAGAAGAAATATTCAATTAAATGGAACACGATATTTAGATCGACAAGTGTGACAGATTGTGGGTCCTAGACACAGGCATCTTAGGTGAGACAACCGTTTGCCCTGCCAAACTCTTCGTCTTCGATCTGAACACCTCGAAGTTGCTGAAACAGATAAAGATACCGGATAATATCGCTTACAACACCACCATAAAGAACGGATTGCTGGTGACTCCGATTGTTCAAACTTTTGGTTCACGGTGTGAACACACTTATGTGAGTATTGCTCGAAATCTTATATAGCAAGAATTTAAAAAATTGCTATGTTAATTAACTATTTTCTGAAAGCTTATTTCATCCTTCTTCATATATATTTATTATATTATTTATTTCATATATATTTATTGTA